GGTCAGCATTCCCGATGTTCCTTCGACATTGGCATGGGCAATCCGACGGGTGTTCACCAGTTCGAACCGAACGCAAAGATGGTGCAAAAATGCCATGTTCTCTTCCCTATTTTGCGCAGGTCCTCTACAGCAAGAAGGGTTGTGCAAATGAAGTGCAGAGAAGGCTGCCCAGGTCTTTGCTTTTTCTGCGTTTCAATGGACTCATTGGGGGTGCTTCTTCTCTTGGCTCAAGATGTCACCCACCCCTCCTCCCTTGGAGCTGGTCCCATGCAGCGTGCAGAGAAACTAGTGGCACCAAACGCACCCGTCAACTGGATGCGATGGAAGAGGCTAGAGCAAAACAGGCTTTCAGGGGTGCTCCTTGATGCGATTCCGAGCCGTCAATGGCCGCTTCTTGGCCTTGTCACCCAATTCTCTGCTCTGTGAACGCGTCCTGCAATCTCCAACCTGGACTTCAGCTGAATACTTTCTATGCACCTTTGCGAGATGAGGTCGGCCGCCTGCCCTAGAGTTGGAACGTTCTCAATCAGTTAGCCATATTATCGTTCGTCCCGTCCCCTTGTCCGTGTCGGATACTATTGTAGGGGGATGGGGGACTACCGTATCTTGTGTTCTGGTCTCTCTGGACGTCTACGCGCACTGTTTACCAAGAAGCCCCTACCTACCAAGATTGCTCTTCGACGCTGCATCCGATTATTGCTCGGTCGTTTCTTGACCTTGACCTGATCTCCATCGTTCGTCATTTCCTTCAGTGGAAAGGTGGAATCGACCCCCTTCATTCGACCGGGCGATGATTTCGCTGAAGCTTGGACACTGCAGAGAGAGTGAATCTGACGGGATCACACTCATCTTAGTACCCCGATCGCCTGATTCGAGAAGTGGACGGGAGGCGCAACGAAGCGCCATGCCTGTAGGCGTGCAATGGCTGCACCACTCAGTGCCATTGCCGTAGTTAGGCTACGTTGAGATCAGCCACGTTTGGTTACTTAGCCTTCATGGCGCTTTTTCCACTACTTGCCTCGTGGGGAGCTAGGTCTTGGGCCAAAGTCCAGCGGTGGCCACGCGATTCAAACTATGCACGGCTTGTAGAATTCGAAATGAGAGTCTCCCTAGGCTTTGAACCGGACCTGTTTGCTGAACATTTCTTCTGCCAGGCCGGAGCATGAATAGACAAAGCCTGAACTGCCAGATACAACAGTGTCACGAGCGTTGGCGCTTTACAATGTTGGACACAAGAACATTTATGAGGAGCAGGTTACCGTTTGATCAAAAATTGACTTTCACGTTACTGGAAGCAATTTTAACCAAATCAAGCAGAGAGCCTATTTCATGTTCAAAGAACTGCCAAGCATGGGATTCATACGAGGACACCGGTGCCGGGGATTAAAATGGCAGGGGTACATGTCCCAGGATGGCGAACCGCCCAAACGGAGCGTTCTGTGGACCTCCCGTGCCGAGTGTCAGCATGCCCCGAGTTCTTTCCACATTCTGGACCGCGACCATAAGCTCCGCTCGCAGTTGTCTAGCCGCAAAGCTGAATCTGTCCTGGTCGTCCTGGTATGCTCGGGTTGGGTTGGTCCTGGTTCGCCGGCTCGCAGTACTTACTAGCTGGAGCCGGATGCAGTTCCTTTATTGTCACCACTCGCTTTCAATACGGGACTACGAGGCTATTTATCCGCTGGGACGTATTCGGATAACTGGATACATGTCATCGTGCACTTCTGTTCGCGAAGACATGTCAGCACTGAGCAATAACGGATTGACATCGAACCCTGCTGCACATCATGCTTCGCTGACATCTGTTGGAGAACGCTTAGAGGTCGTCTGTGGCAGTACTTCGTATGACAGGGACTGCACACTGTAGCCTTGCAGAAACGGAGAGTCCGGGCTAAACGGTTTCTGGCGTAGTTCTTGCTAGCACCACCAGGGCGGTTGTTGAACTGACGGCCCTTGATTGATACCTTTTTAGGTTTGTCAACCGTTATTCAGCCCAGATGTACCGAAGAGAAGAGGGCAAGACGGTCCACACATCTGTTCCAGGCACCAAGCGATATGCACCAGAGTCTACATTTGATAGTGTAGGGCAAGACAGGGGCGTGACCCGACAAGAAGTCGATACCACCCTTGTTCCTACTAGAGCTTCCCAGGTTAGGGGGCATGCGGATACATCCCGGCGCCCTGGTGCATGGGCGGGTGGTGTTGACTCCCAGTGTGGGAGGCGGACCAAGCACCGAGGTTCTGGCCTCCGTCGGTCCTCGTCGGTTGTCTTTCGACTTCGGGCCATGATGGGTTGACTATAACCTTTTGTATTTCCTGAGTTCACCTCCAGCATTATTGCTTATCATTGAAAATTCAGAACTGGTGGAAAGACGACGACCTGTGACGCAAAACTGAGCAACTTGAGCAACTTTCGCCTACACGACGACGAACCCCCCCTACGGAGCTCATACCGCATCTATCACTTTCCTTTTCTTTCAAGGGAGCGGACAACTCGGTAGCCCGAGATCTTGAGCTCGGTCCCGTCATAAGAGTTCACGAAAAAGAAGTGTATGCCGGATCTGGGCTTCGTCACTGCACTTGGATCCGCGCCAAGTTGATTTGGCACTGCACCCCCGGTGTAAACGATAGGTCACGATCTCATGTACCGGTTCAGAATTACGCCGTACGCGCCTGCTTGACCTGAACGCCACTCCCACCGTTCCCTATCCAGGGACCCTCCACCCTGTAGGTACTCCGTACCAGACAACAGTCCAGCCTGGTTCCACATCCCGACTGTCTGTTTTTGCTCCCCAGATCTCTGGAGTCGCGGGAGAGACCATCGTCAGCAGGGTACACTCGACTCAGCTAGAGCATCAGTAACAAGATAACTGGCCTTCTTTCGCCACCGGCGCGCTAGTCTCCTTTCAAAAACCCTGAGAGCTTCTGCTACGGTCACTGCTGCCACCCTTCCCTCCGTTTTCCTCGAAGCAACCGCGTTAAGAAGCTTCTTCGCTCTGCCGTGGCGCCTGTCTTCTTGCTGAGGTGGACTACTAACCGCACATTGTACCTCACCACATGGGAGGGGCGCTGTTAACGTTGCGGCCACCGTCGAGAGTTGTCAAGTCTCCATAATCTCAGTTACCAGCATTTTGTCCCCTTATCAAACTTTGTTTGTCAGACTGCGACGACCATCACTAGCAACCTTGGAAGCCGAAAACTCTACAGCCACAAAATAATACAGCAACTACGACACACACAAGAGGTCACGCAGTGACAGTGGGACTTTCTGAAGAAGGTCGAGAAGAAAGTCCGATGGTGAGCGCGTCCAGCACTCTTTCACACCAACCTCGGAGATCGAAGGTTGAACAAGGATTGAACTCTCACAACCCGCGCTCTTTCAGCCTTCCCGCACTGGGGTAGCCAAGTTCAACCACAAGCCAAAGCAAAGGAGCCACCAAAAGCACCATACAAAGCGCCAGCCAGGGACGAGCTTCCAACCGAACTACCAGGTACTACTCACCGTCCGGCAGTCGTTCATTCGAAAAGAGACACATCTGTTCTCGGGCAAGGGGCAAGAAACGCCCGCGGCTGTTGCTTGATCCTGCCACACCTACATACCCTTGGCTAGACTTGGACAGGGTCCTTATTTGGATTCCGAGCCTCCCTACGGGGATACATGCGTGTGTGTGTGTCTGCTAGTGTATGCGTGTGTGTACACCTTTGGCACAAGCGCACATATAGTTCAGGCGAATGCCATCGACAGATCGACACTCCACATCTGCTACCTGAAACTGATCAAAGAGCGACCTCGAATCTCTTCTTCGTCCAAGTAAGCTTAATTAAGGCTCTCGGCAACCTTCGTTTCTTTGGCTGAAGCCACCATCTCTCCATCCGCTACAGACTCAGCGTTGTTGGCAACCTAAGCCCGGAGACATCTTCATCTGGCCGACGTCTTCCCCACGGACTAAGCTTTCGATAACCCTCAGTTCAAATCTCAACTTCTATCGAAAGGCAGATTTCCCTTTCACGCGCCCAAGACAGAAGCAGAAATTGCGAAAGGAATTTTTCTTCCGACAAACCTTTGGATGTGTCTCACCCGACGCCATCCGATAGATACAATTGTCACATCACAGGTTGAAGGACTGCTATAACTTGGTTCCGTCTACCAACCATAAGTCTACAACCGGCAACAGCGGGCTTTCTGTTTCCATCCGACGAAAACGATCAACTCCCGCGAAAAAAGGACGAACCGAAACGCGCGTATGGGTATCATGACCGATCATCAGGCTACCCTAGCACATCCTGAGAGCTTCTCCTCCAGAACGAGAAAGGTGACCACGAGTCTACCACCTTTCACTTTACCTGCTCTAGATATACCAAGTACGCGAAACCCTTATCGTGCTTTTCCCGTTCTGGGCAGCCCGAGTGACAGTGCTTTTGGGGATCACAACCGGCAGCGGTGGACTACCACTGCCCCCAAGGCAGCAGGTCTCACTTCGCCCTCCCCTTATCCTCCCCCCCTTACCCATTCCATTCCTCAGCCCTCCACAAATAGTCAAACCACAATCAGCATAACCACCACCACAAATAACAGTAATCTGACAACCACCTCAGGATCAGAGATAGCAGCTGAAGGGCTCAATCTATCATCGGGTATTAACAGCAGCGGGTCGCAATCCTCCCAGCAACATTATTACTCGAATCAACATATTGGATCGTGGCCGACGCCGGGGAGCTCATCACAATCCGCGTACACGTACTTGAGTCCAGATTCCAATCCCGGCTCAGGATCGCTCACCCAAACCTCTTATACTCACCGACCACAAGCCACCTTTGGTTCGATTCCATCATCTGTGACGAATTATTCAGGAGGGCGTACCACTTCTACGCCAACCAACGCGGAAACCGTGCCAGCTTCATCGTCTTACCAGGAACAGCATTCATTTCCGACATCAGTAGGATCGTCGGGGGGCCCTCTGGGATCATCGCACCCTTCACAAGCGTCGGGTCTTGCTCAACCAATGCTGAGCTCACAGAACCCGGCGGTAACGCAACCGCCAACGGCAGGGCATGGCTCTTCGTTGCCCTCTCTAGACTTTGGCAACTTCAGGGCATCAACGTCACAGAACAGCTACTATCCGTCTGCTACCCAGCAACAACCACAAAGCTCTACGCAAAGTAGTTACTATCCATCACCATCAACACCGCAGCAAGGCTCATACCCAGGTTTCCAAGGGACGGCACCCTCGCATATATCCCCAACTGGTTATTCACCATCGACATCCCAAGGGAATACGTCACGGGGATTGGGATCGATATCGAGCAGCGGCAGCAGCGGATCTGGGCTACAGTACGGCAGCAGACCTCAGCAATATGGTCTCCAGTCTCACCACCACTACTCGCTCAACGGGCACGGTCCTGTTATGAGCAACATGCACCAGCCCGGCGCACCGTTGGCCATGGTGGGCATGTCAAGCATACATTATGGCACCCACCATCCGATGACTCAGTACCATCGGTATGGGGCTAGCCATGAGCAACTGGGACCTCGTCAAGGGGACCGACCATACAAATGTGATCAGTGCACACAGGGCTTCAACAGGAACCATGACTTAAAGCGTCACAAGAGGATACATTTGGCAACGAAGCCCTATCCTTGTGGCAACTGTGAGAAGTCTTTTTCGAGGAAGGATGCGTTAAAGGTAGGTTGCTTAACCACCCCGTGTGACTATCACGAGCGAAATGCTAACGTTCCCTTTGCGTCACGTCCAGCGTCACAGACTAGTCAAGGGTTGCGGAAAGAATGACCAGGTCAACGGAAAGAATGACCAGACCAACGGAAAGAATGACCAGACCAACGGAAACAATGCCGGTGGCAAGCCGGGAGGAATGACGGGGCTAGACAACAACACAAGACCACCGGGCGACTACTCGCTAAGCTCCAGGACCTCCCCGATGGAGCGCTTCGACGAAAGCGATGATGCAGCAGTGTCGCGATTGGCAGTGTAAAAAAAGAAGGACCACTTCGAATTTGGGCTCGAATTTTCGCCTTGTCTTTTCTGGCTTTCGTTAGCTTTTGCCCTTCTCATGTGTGCTGTTTTATGGATCAATACTAGCGAATGGATCGGTATTTTGGATATAACGGCGGTACATCTCTCAACTTGGATATGGACGGGATAAATCGGGCGCTTGGACGGCTATACTTTTCTCATAACCTTCTTGTTTATGGATGTTTGCAGGCTTTTCTCATGGGCTTTTTCGGATATGGATATTTCAGGCGTAATATAAAGAGGAGGGAATGGACTGTTGCGATTCTACCAGGGGGTTTGCAAATGGTTTTTGCCGCTTCATCACAACATAACGGCTTTCCAGAGTCTGTTTTGCATTGCGTTTGCTTCTCTTCTTTTCTTCTTCTTCATTATCTTCTTTCCATTGGGATGGATGGCTTTTCACGGATTGACTTTTCAACAAGACATTGGAGAGGAGGACAAGGTCTTTCATATTACATAGGAGACGGAGGCGAAGAAAGGGGTGGATGGTCAAAGTCAAACCACGAGCGGGAGGTTTAGTTGACTTGTTAACAAGGAGTGCGTTTTTGTTTTGTTTTGTGCGTGTATCTGTATAATAAAACACCCACCCACCCAACCAACCCTCCGCGGATGGTATGGTGATTGATTGATTGATTGATTGATTCATTTTATATACCCTACTTGTTTTCACTTTACTATAATTGTTTCGGAGCTTACGACAAAAACGATGTTATTGAAACAACTAAGGGTTCTAACTTGAACCTCACGTAATAGGATTTGGATCGCAAAAATGTCCCATCAGGAGATGACGGTCAGTTCAGGTCAGGCGGCCAGGTTTGTTGTAGAAAGGAAGACCACACCCACGGCAGGCACAATACCATGGAACTTTTCATCATTACTCGAGTCGCTGAGGGAGCGCCCGTGATGCACACAAAAACATGTTGGGAACGGTCATTCTGCAAGAGGCAGGTTGCGGGTTAAATCACAGCAACAGATACCTAAGTAGGTACTCTCGGAGACTTTAGCGAGTTGCCAGCCGGAAGAGTGCTAGCGCTGGAAGAGATAGATACTGCCTTTTCTTCTTCTTCTTCTTTTTACTTTATTTTCTTTCATGCCTGCTACTTGCAAATCTATCTATCGACTGGGAAGAGAAGACAGCAGAGTCATATCTGACACGAATCAACAGTGGACCTATCGTAGCGACAGAATGAGCAACGAAAAGAGCAACGGAAAAAAGAGCTGAGTCAATGGATAAGGCGATAGCGTTGAAGAGCAACCGCCTGCCTGCTTGCCTACCTCCCTAACTTATCAGATCTTACAACAGTACCTCTGTCCGTAACAGGCTCTATCACTGAACTTGGGATCAAGGGGCGCTGCAAACCCGTTCGGGATATAGATCACTAGCACATCCATACATCTAGTCGTAGAACCCCAGGGACAATGAAGAAGACCTTACACTGCACCACCCTACCGAGAACAAACCCACAGTGGCTCATTTCCAGCAGCAAATGGCAAGGAGATCTTCACTAGCGAGCGTTCCGGCACCCAGTCTCGGGCGCGCCCAGTCCGGTGGGATAGATCCCACCTACATACCTGAACTAGTGTAAAGCCAGCCACAGCCGCACTCGCTACCACTTTTTGACAGAACACAGCGCACATCATATACCCTATCAATCAAGTCTTTACTTCCTCTCTAGGTAGCTCGAGTCCAGCTTCCATTTCCCGATTGTGGCAATAGGTAGGACCTCGACGGAAGCGTAGCGGCAGCGGCGGCCATGCCCGTTAAGCCAAGTCAAGTCAAGTCACGTCGAGACAGCCAGCCAGTCTTTCAGGTTCCAGGCTCACGGGTCGCGGTTCTGGCTCTGGATCTGTATCTAGAGTCACTTACGAGTTACGATGGGGACAACGTAATGTGTTATTGGTCTACACTAGTTAGCTTTGAAAGAACTGAAGTGACTGATTGATCCTGCGGTAATCCCAACCGAGTGGTCTAGAGTCAGAGTCTCCAACTCGAGATCTTCTCGAACTAGAAGAAGTAGTTGTATGAATTTAAACCCAACACGCTACCGCCGCATCATTGAGGAAAAGCCTGCGCTGATAGATGGGCGTGGTAGCCCTGAGAATAAGTGGACAGCAAAAAAAAAAAAAAAAAAGAAAAAAAAGACAACGGCACAACGGCAAGAAAGCCGTTATTGTTCAGCTAGCCACTTGTACCGCTTCCACCGCCTCCACTTGTACCGTTCGACCGTTCCAACCTAACAAAGTTTGCGAACCAACAACAAACTCCCAATGAGGAGAAAAGAAAGAAATTGATTAGGACTTTCAGCGGTAATTCAAGCATTACCGCTGCTCAATAACTTATTCTCTCGCGTTTGAGTGGTGCAAGTACGAAGTGAACTAAAGAGTTTTAGCTGGCACTCAAAGAGCTTTGCTTCTAAGCGACCCATGATCTTCCGCAAAACAGAGCTGAAAGACGGGGAAGAGAGACGGAACAACATATCAGTCTTGAAAGAAAGGAACAGCTGTCGCAGCTGTGCCACCGTTAGGTTGTCATCCGTTAGCTGCGTGTCTGCCACACATCTCCCCTTCTCTCAATTGCGTCCGCCACGCAAAACGGGGTTTTTGGCGGCTGTGCCTTTCATTGCCAGAGCACTGGCTTTCATGCCTTTGGTAACCCCCAAAGCGAATGCTTTGTGAAAAAACTGTTGGTGATATATCAAACCCTGTGAGCTTTTTGGCAGCATGTTCTGAGTACTCGCAAACTTGGAAGTCCCAGTCTGACGAGCAAGGGCTGACGAACGGTTGGAACGGTAAGAATAATCGTAAAGTGTAGGTTTCAACGGAACACACGAGTTTGAGCTGGCCAATGTGTCTCCGAGTTCCTCCGTCGGCTGCAGCCCGGGAGTGTTTCGCTCTGGCCTTGGTCCATAACGAAGGGGCTGTCCTACCCTTACTCCGCGGTGAGACGACAAGGCGGTAGAAAACCACCACCATCACTAGATGTAAAAACAGTGAAGGGCACAAAAAGGGGTAGAAATAAAGGCCAGAAAAGCCCCAGAGATAACAAAGACTAGTACATTGAAGCTTCATGCTGACCATTTTGAGACCATTCCCCGGCCTTACGTTGGAATACAGAGTCATTCAAATGCTCGGGCTCCGCTTAGAGTTGTCCGTTCTAGGAAGCCGTATCACATACCGAACACAAACCTCGCGACTGATCGATTTCTGGTCTCTGGAGGATGTTCAACGATCACTAGACCGCCTGTTCTGGACGCACACTAGTTCACGGCTGATAGTCGAATATCGAAAACCGAGCATCGCGGTTTTCGTACCACCCACCCATGATTGTTTCCTCAACTCGTTGAGGACCTAAGAGCCGGAAAGGCGAGCCATCAGTCCATCAGCTTGCAGCTTTCGCCCTCTATGCTTATGCCACTCATTCTTCACTGTTCATTAAGCAAGCAAGCAGCATCCACACACGGCGTGAGCAATGGACAGGTAAAAATGTCCGTTGGAATTGGTGCATTCCGTCAAGAAATCTTTTATCCCTTGAAGTCGAAAGCAAGGGATAGGATCTGGCCAAAGTAATCCTCAGCCAGACCAAGTCACAAAGTGACAAGAATGGGCCAGCCTGAATAAGGGGAAGTGAAGCTGACAGTCCGAACAGTGAAGATCAAGCAGAACTCCCAGTTTTCGCACCTTGACATCCCCCCACGAAGATCCTGCAATAAGATGGAGTAACACCCTTTTTCCCAGATCACCTCACCCCGGTTTGAAGACCCGGTGACGCTTGACCGGGCTGGAAGGACCAATTGTCGGAATGTTGTAAATGGTCACAGAAATATTCCGTCGTAGGTACTGTGTATGCACAGAAGTGCATCACGCATACAACAAACACCCACTCATGATCCTTGCAAAGATCAAGGAAACTCAGGATTGGTTGCGCACTTGCATACGTTAAATTCTGCTCAAGAAATGTGGGCTTTGTCTGTCTAGAACAGGCATACAGTGGCGCCTAACAACTTGATCACACTAGGAAAGTTGGTCAGCCTTGACATGGCTCCAGTCAAGTTCTTGACAGTTGTTTCCTTGTTAGTGTAACCTCTTCGAATACCGGTGTAAAATTCTTATGGCACGCAGGTCCAGCTTTTGCACTTCTTGATGACTACCTCAGATAATTACACTGTCGGACAAGACACTCATCAAGCCTCGAGGGGATAATGCTAACATTGCGGCTGAAGCGAATCGATGAGTTTGTGATCCGTGAGGCTCAGCGACAGTCAATGATATTGCACGAAGAAGGCGGGTGGTGAGCACGAAGCAGGGAAGCCGTTCCGTTTATTGATCGGCTATGTCACTCCCAGCATGGGATGTGTACTAAACCACCCAGAAAAAGGAAGGCAGCCTATGAAATCGAGATTGTGTTACCCAGGAGCCCTCGAGGAGATAAGTCTTGGGAGAACTTTACCATACAAGAGCTCGGTATGCTTAGACATGACGGACAGAAGCTTCAACACCTGCAGTTCTTCTCCCCACGATGGAAATGCAGGCGATTGGAGAGGACTATGAGCCGCTAACACTAACCAGTGGCAAGCATGATCCAGAAAGAGGGGATGAAAGGTCAGGGCTTGGCCCGGGGCAGCAATGCCGGTAAGCAGGGTTCAGGAATTTGGTTCGCGGTGGAGGGCGGCAAGCCGTGGCGCTCCGCGACTTGCATTTCAGCCCGCCCAGATCAGGAAAGGATGGCAGCGGTTCTCAGTCCAAACATCAAAGTGTGGGTGTCCGGCAGGTCATCGTGAATGTTCGGGTGTCGAAGACACACGGGTGGCTACGGCCATCTCCGTTTCATGCCTAAAGAAACCAGAGAGTCCGCAAAGGGGCGGACGCAATGAATCGACCCTCTTCTCTCCGTCACCACCACTTGATGCAAACTGTTATCTTCACGCCCCCATCAGCAGACCGATTGGTGATTGGGCTGACCAATGTATACGGTAACTCGTTCGTCAAATCTCCTTCGCACGGTGTGTCCAAAGGTCACACATTTCGACAACTTGCTCCATCCCCCTCTTTGTAGTCACTCTCGCCGGTCTCGAGCGTCTCGGGTTCGCATGTCTTGTTTCCGCTTCGGTCCTCGACATGCCCCTGCGTCCATGTGTAGGTGGCTACCCGAAGGAGAAGATATATCGTCAGATAGCTGGACTGCGTGCGATCTCGAGTATTTCTTTTCTGAACTGCAAGTGTGGGAAAACAGCCAAAACCATTGGCACAAAGAGTCGGCGCACCCACAACCGCTCATTTCACGCAGTGAAGGCTTGCAGATGGGCTGAGAAGACCGGCCGCCCATCTAAACGCCGCCGAAGAGTGTTGAACCGGCGGGCTTGCAAACTTGCGAAGTCCCCATGCTTCCAATGGAAACTCAATGCCTTCCTTGGGGCCTTGAAGATGAATGTAGTACGCTGCTAACGCCTCTTCTCGAATATGTGTGTGGTGTGAGAGGTGTGGTAAGCAGAAAATGTCGTGATTATGGCTGCCATGTCTTGCCAAGCAATGGGAGTGGGAGATGAGGACAGATAACGGTGCCTTGAACGGACCTGTTTCCGTTTGGCGAGCGAGTTTCGATGAGAGCAGGTGCAATGTAACCCTCCATTCTTTCAATCACCGCCCAGCTTTGAGCCTTCCTCTTCCATTCACCGGCCATTCGTGATCAACCACCGTTTTCCGAACGCGAGTCCATCCAGGTATGGTTGGTGGCTTCCTGAGATGGCAGAACCATGGGCGGTTTAGCGGTTCTCTCCATGCTGTGGCTTTGACAAGAGCATATACAGATCTCAGTGTTAAGACCGCCGCATAACGCCCTCCCGGGTTTTGTGGCTTATTTGTGCCGATCTCCCGAAAACACTCCTACAGGCTTGCTGATATCACGTCGGTTGGTCGGTGGTCCAGATAAGATATCGTTCATATGGGATGTGTGCGTTATGTGAACAACAGTGTGTTGGAGAATGGACCCAAGGAGAAGGAATTTGCCCGAATTCTGTTGCTGGAGTGTAAGTCAGCAACTCTGACACTGGACTCAAGTATGAAGTGCGGTTTGATGACTAACAAAGCTGCGAACTTGACAGTTGCACAGGCAGGCCTGGCTTTGGCTCCCCGGCGAGATGAAATGCAAGGTGTCCGAGAAACCTTGCCCCATGGTCTGGCTCCGATGAATGTCGCAGATTTGGCCATTGCTGCCGGAATCCTGCTTCTTAACCAAGGAAAGCAGTCAATGTTTGAGTGCAGCCTAATGAACCAGGTCCAAGCACGATATGCGAACGCGCCGTTGTGATGGAGGTCGGCTGGCTGCATTGAGAAGACGTGAGATTCGCTGGCAGTGGTGTTGTCAAGTATCAAAGGTAACACATGGAGGCCGGATGTCCTGGAGAAGCTCTGGCCAGGTAAGCTGTGCAACGGCAGCCGGTTGTGGTATCTCAATCCAGCGTTGGGTTCATGTGTCCGTCTTGCAGGGAAAGCATTTTGGACTTCTGTGTGGTGTGCTGGTGCTGTTCGACTGGACAAGAAGAAGAACGGGGGCGAGAGAGCACAAGGGAGGTCGCGTCGGAGTACCGCTAGCTCGACACAGGCGGCTGCGGAGGTTGGGTTTGGCTGACGTTGATTTAGACTCTGGTGATGGTGTCTCGCGGCTATGATCCGTCCCACTGGGACGTCGGGTTGAATTTGATGCACTGGCGGTTGCAATTTGCGGTACCCGGAACTCCGATTGTCTGACCTTGTCACGCCTAGTTCCGTATCTTCTGCCAAGTGGTCGTCAGCGATGTGATACTAGTCATATCCGCAGTACCAGGTACACACCGGCGCCAAAGGGGTATTTTGCCTGATATTATCCATACAGGTGGGTGCCTCTGGATAAGTGACAGGTAGGTTACTGTCGCAACCCGAGGAGAGCCCTCAATGCCCCGGTCCCATGGAGGCCCTACAAGGAGCCCAAGAAGACCAGACACGTGAGGCTGGTCGGCGACCATTCGGGCGACCTTGCCAGAGAAGGATTGAGGAGTGCAGATCACCGGCTCGACAAGCGCGTGTCGCAGATGGTGATAGGAACAAGGCAGATCAGGCCCCCAAAGGGTAACTGCGAGAGCAAGCACCAGGGCACCTCATAGCACATTTGCTGGAACGCCCTATCGTGCAGTAGCTGCAGCGGCTGTGAGCCCGAGAGATGACGAGATGCGCGAGGTTCCGAATGTTGAGGATATTGGCATGGATTAGCGGCAATGATGTTGAACAGCGCTGGAAGTTGAACGTTGATGGGAACCCGCGAAGTGACGCGCCCATAAGGCGGGAGCAGAAGATGCCGTTACCCTGCCCGTGAAAAGTTTGACCTCGTTGATCATCATTCCTGCCTTTCTTGAGTAATCAACTCCTTCCTCTCCACCCTCTTTTTATTTTTCCTTCGCTCTTCCTTCTTTCCTCCTTCCTTCCTTCCTTCCTTCCCTAGTTGATATTCTGGGCCGAGTGGTGCGATCACAATTTCTCGCTCGCGACACGAATTTCTTTGAGCAGTATCAAAGGGAAGCTGCCGGTCCAGGTCGGACTGCTGTGCTTTGCGGGATTCAGTTGTAGATGATCTTTCAGGGCGAAGGTGGTTTGGGGGAAAGAGAGTGTTGGGTTATTGCCAAGCTGAAGCCGAATGTTTGATATTTTGGGTAACAAGAAGATGCAAACAGGAATTGGAAGGAGCAAATCAACGGGCCGGCCCTTTGCGTACAAGTGTTTGGGATTTACTCTTCACCGAGTACCTGTACGTTGGCAGCGGGTTTCCGCTTTCTTCTGGTGCTACGTACAGGAGGAGTCCTGCGTTAATACTCCTTAGCTGATATAGTGCAGCTTGGAGTGTAGAACTGTTAGTATCTTGAATTAAAGGGACATCAAAACAACTAACAAAGACAGGGCTCCAACTCCACTTGCCACTCCTCCAACGAGCCGCTCCTCAAGGTGAGCATGTTTCTCTGACACGAGATCAGACGAAGCACACACGTTCAAGCGTGCAAAAGGGGCGACTGCTCCGGTCTTTTGAACTCTGGACAGCCTCTTCTTCTTCTCATTCTCGTCACTCATTCAACTTGTTTTGCCCAGCCAGGGAAACACGCGATCGAGACCCGTAACCAGCAAGAATCAGAGCTGTCGCACATTCATCATCCCGCTGCAATTTACACCGCTAGTCTTGCCTACGAACAACATTCCGACGACAAAATACACCATTTTACTGAAATCAACCAAAAATGAGCCACACACACGATATGGAAATGGACATGGACATGGGCTCCGGCACAAGTTCCGCCGCCAACGGGCACGGAATGATGTCGGTCTTCCAGAACTCGATGGCCACATCCCTCTACTCGGAAGCCTGGACGCCCAAGACCACCGGCACCTATGCAGCCACATGCATCTTCCTCATCATCTTCTCCGCCATCTTCCGCGGTCTTTTGGCTCTTCGCAATTGGCAAGAGAGCAGATGGATCGACGCCGAGATGAAGCGCCGCTACGTCGTTGTTGCCGGGCGAGAGACGCTGGCTGAAAGGGTCAGCAATGACACACTGGCGAAGCCCATGGTGTTGAGTGGCAACGGCGTTGAGGAGAGCGTTATGGTCGTTCAGAGGCATGGAGAAGCAGGACGCCCGTTCAGGTTGAGCGTGGATCCGATTCGTGCGGTCCTTGATACGGTTATTGCTGGTGTTGGATATCTTATGTGAGTTTATGGTCAGATCCTGCTGCACGTCAAGCTTGCAGTTTTTTACTGATATGGTGGTGTCTCTAGCATGTTGGCAGTCATGACCATGAATGTCGGGTACTTCATCTCGGTGCTAGGCGGAGTATTTATCGGCAGTCTGCTATGCGGTCGCTACGCGACACACACAGATCACTAATGCGGCCCTTTCCTTGTGATTTTCTTGGACTTTTAGCATGGGAGTTTAGCATTTGATCAGCATTTCATCGGTTTGCGGTTGTCTGTTTCTGGAGTTTGGACGGAGGTAATTTGTTTTTCGGGATTGGAGGTCATGAAAACGGGTTCGCACAATTTCGTGGGTATCGTCACCGTCAACGGAACGACAAGCCTCACACATAATAGATGAGTTGCAGCACGTACCAACACGATCGCCAGCGCTCATTGTCCAACAATCTCAAAAGTTCTTGGAGTCGTCAACAAAGGAAGCTTTTGCGATAGTGCTCCGGGGCCTGGCAGGTACCTGTACATTTGGCAGCGCTTGCATGGGTGGCATTGCATAAATCTGCTCAAACCCACTCAACCTTGATGGTCGGTCAGTGGCTGGAACCTCACACATGCTCCACCCACCGCCGTCCGTGACCCCACTTGGCGTAGGTAATGATTTGGATTCCAACTCGGTCCGCCCGTTCCTTCCACAAACACCGACGACGACATCCGGTATTCATCCCGGCCATGCTCCGGCTCCCGATCCGGCTCCGTACGCCCATATCCGGATTTCCACGAAGCCCCTCCGGTCCTGACTGAGTCGGCGACATACCCTTCTGTCGAATTGTCGGCCATAAGCATGCGATAATCTGGAATCAACTTAAGCAACCATGACGCGATAAAACATGCATCTGGTGCTGAGTTCCATCAACTCTTCTTCTCCAACCTCATATGGAAGGGCTTCGACACGTCCTAAAGACAGGTGCAACCCCAACTGGTCTCCTTCAACACTTACCTGAAAGTCATTATTCTTTGCCCTTCCCGACGACGGAGTGTATCGATATCCTGAACGAGTGTCGAGTGTCCTTCGTGTCTCTAAGCTGCTGAAGCCCATTTTCGAGATTCAACGTGATGAGTGGGTTGGCTAGATCCTGGTCAAACGCCGCCCGCCAGGCTGACAACGCTGTCGCGGTTCTTGGTCAATGTGGTAACTTCCATCTCGTCATTCTCAATCGGATCGGCTCCCTCAAAAGGACGTGCAGGCTCCGAACCGTCATCAAAAGCACTAGTCACATCGACAGACCGAGGCTTCGAATTTGATATGTCGAGTGTCCTTGGTGGTTTTGCGCCAAGAAAATACAAAGGCTGTTATTGTGTAAGTTGCCTAAATACTTAAAGAAAAGAATGGAAAATACAGCTTGAGGGCCCGGAGCAGTGTAAAGTTGGTTGTCTAAGGTATCTTTTCCTCCCATTACCATAAAGGGCAAAAGCGGCAGCGAGCTGGAAGGTGGGGACATTCAGAGCCACCGTCTTGCATGGAAATCTTGGTGGGCATAAAATTTGCAGTATGCTTGTAAGATCATGTCTGATTTCCAAGCAACCCAGAACCCAGCGCCCCCCAAATAATGTGGTCGTCTTTAATCTTCAGGTCGTTGTCTTGAAACCACGTCTAACCGTGGGTGTGTGGTTTGGTCTTTGGCATGCAACACCCGCGTGTAGCGTGCTCAGCCAACCTCACACCCACGGTTAGCACTTCTGCCTTTATTTCTCTGTACTCTCAATTCCCTCATTAACTCCTTGGCTTCACACCGCCGACAGGTACCGGACTTTCCACCGACATATCACCGTTATACTGACTTTATATCACGCGGTGAAAGATGCATCTGATGGTGAGTCCATCTATTATTCTTCTCCAACCTCATCAAAGAATGTGACAAGAGCTAAACAAATGCAGACCCAACCGATTTTCTACGACTTGCCCGCAAGTCTTTTTTCTCCCTCCCTCCAGACGAGTGGCTGGCAGTACTTCAAAATGAGTGTGTTGCGCGCCTCCATCCCAGCGTTCCCTCATTGCTGCTGCCTCAAATCATATCCAACGGACCTGATACTCTCAATGACACTCCTTCCTAGGAAATCCATAATGAAAAGGAAATTGCGAACTCTGTCATCCTCAGCTGCTTCTCTTCTGATGGGTTCAACCCGTTGACCTGTGCGCTGCTGTCAGCTGCCGCACGGGGAGCCCACAGTATTGTGCCCCTGCACAAACTATTCTTTCCGACCGGCAGATCCTGTCGCGTGCTCTGGGGGGACCATTTGGTGTAGTGGCTCAGGTCGGGTTGGACTTGTTGACATCAATGGTCAACGAGCTGGTTGTATACTTCTAGCTGTCTTTTCGTTGGATATGCCACAGGCTTACCATTGACGATGTAGCAGAAGTTGACTGGGAGTTCGTACAACCCGATGCCCTTGCCCTGGAGCCCATGGTCATATTGCTCAATCTTGTACAGGGCCTTCCTCACTTTCCAGAGCCTGTCGCGCACCATCATGAGCGAGTGGTCGGTCTCCTTGTGGGATACCGCTTGGTCCACTTGTCTTTTCACTGTGTTAAGACGTCACCTGTCAGTCTTCTTTTCATGTCGAACAGTGATGGGGTGGGTAAGAAGGGTCCTTACATTCTTCAGTCGCTTTCCGGAGCTCGGTCCAAACCTCGAAATACGCTTTCTCACGCTCGCTACCCGCTCTCTTCCCATTGTCCAGCCAATATTCTGTCATGATGTCGGCGAACGCTCCCTTGTTTTTTCTCGGGTCGTTGAAGTTTGTCAGACGACGGATGAGGTCTTGTGCCTCGTAGCGGATTTGTACGTCATATCCCTCCTCAAGCTTCTCTACTTTCTTGATGTTCCTTGGGAGATGTATCATGAACCTGTTGGAATAGCTTTGATAGTGTATCAGAGGTTTAGCCTCTACACCTGACCCGGCCGGTGTTTTGTTTTCTTCATAACCATTGTGGGAAGACCAGGCTTGGGGTTCCTCTTCAGCGCTTGTCCCATCGAGGTCCCAAGATTCATCGTTCGACATGCTGGTAATGGTCGTCGTGGGATGGTATTCAAAGATGTTCGAGACGAGGCAGTAAGCTAGGTGCTCTCTGAAGTTTCAGGAAAAATGTATGATAATGTTGCGAGAAATGAGAAACAATATAGTCCTTTCCTGGGAGGACTGACACCCTTTTATCACCAGAACCTCATCCAAATACCTGGCCGTTCAACGCACTTGCTGCTTGGTCGTGACAGCCAACCAACAGTTCTCAACATCATACTTACCAACAACCTGTCAGATCACCAAGTCGACGTCCAGTTTCACCACGAACTCAAGCTCCTCACAAAGACATACAACATATTGCTGGTACGTTCAGAATGACAGCATGTCGCATATTGCCAGCGGTGCAGTTGTTAAGTTGGCTCGGAGGTTCATCTTACTTGACCAAGGTATCACGGCAATGATCACCAACAGTCAGTTCACATTTAGAAACTTCCGAAATCGGTGCTGCAGTTATGATTGGCGCATAATAAACGGTCGTTGGATGACAAGTTGACTAAGAGATGTATATTGGCCGAGGTTCAATCAAAGAAACTCTGAACGCAACCCACGAATACCAGACGGAACGATATGCCGTGTCCTCGATCGCACAGCGCATAAACGCCAACATCGGACGGCTTGAAATGAGGGAAGATATGTCTGCTGATTAAATTTAGGGTACTGGTGAGGGAGCCGTAAAGCGCTGAGAAGCTGACAAGAGATTTGAGGTAGATGACCTTAGAGGTGACACAACTCACTGCCTTGGTCGTTCATCCCTCGAAATTGTTTCCTTGCAAGGGAGTCGTGTCCGTCCTTTCCATTGCCTAAGGCTGTTCTTTATTCTTTAGAAACAGGTGGCAAATGTCGTATGTGAGTGTCCTCCGTGCTTTCCTTCCGAAGTTGTCTTTACGAGATTCGCGCAGGGAAGGAGCGATTATCTCGGTAGTACGATGCCCGACCAGAATAGAGGTGGTGAGCGTAATCCATCTCACTCCAGTCCAGACAATGTGTTCGCGAGCATGGTCTTTCATTCTCGAAACGTACGCTTGCTCACGAGCCAACTTTGCCATCATCTTTTCTCGGAAAAATCCGAGCTTCGATGTTTGAGTCTTCCTTATCACTCAATATCCAGAGGCACATCTCCAAGCTAAGACCTCTTTTGGCCAATGAGCCGCTCAGGTACACGTGTCATAGCTGTTACTTTGAAGTCTTTGTGAAGGGGAATCCAGGCCCATATTGACGTACGCAGCAAAATGAACAACAATGTTGGTTGAGTGTGCCATCCGAATTGACGCGCCTTCACGCTTCCCATCTCATGAGCGACCAACATCACCTAAAATATCACGATGTGATTCTCAACATCTTTAGGAAATCTCCGTGCTCCCCCTCTCACAACCAACGCGATCAAAGTCCACAAAGGTTGTGATGGCGATCGGTGTCAATGGTTTCCTTAAGGGAGGGCAGTCGGCGGGAAATGTACCCGCGCTATCACCAACTTCCCGTGTCTGGCCTCTGCAAGACCGCCTATCTTCTACAATAGCTTCCGTCATGGGAACGGGTGGTTGGTTACCCGGTGTTCTACCATCCAAATGTGGAAACCCCGACAGGAGAGATCCGAGCGGCCAACTCTGGCCAAGTCACAACGGTAAACGCCAACAACGGCGCACGGCTGGGATGTGGTTGTGGGGATTGACGCGATTCGGGTTCTACCACCATTGACAGTAGTGGATGATGGACTCGATGTCGGGGCGGCTGAGAGTATCCTTTTCTTTATGGCCCTTATGGGATGTGCATTTGATATAGATGCCAGAGAACTGCTCGCTGGCTCCTCGAAACTGACACACTTTTTCTACTTAGATGCGCCATATTCGCGGTTACAACCCGCTTTCAAGACCGGCAATGTTGGTGACGGGGACAAGGAAATTGAGTGTCTGTTGGGGGTTTTGATCTAACACTGAACCCGATTTTGTTTCAAGAACACTGACACTCGCAGGCTGCTTTCTTTTTCTACTTCTTTTTCTACCTTGTACAAAGTCACGGGAAGGCTTTTGAAAGATGCCCCCAATATCATGAGATCCAACCTGACCGAGGATTGAGGTTGAGAACAATGAAGGCATATAGCGCTTGGTTGGTAATATGTGTCCGAGTGTATGGGAAGAGATATTCAAAGGAACTGCGCTGAATTTTCAAACAGAGATACTGATGGGCCGACAGAACACACGATTATAAGAAGGTCTCATGATCTCTAACATCATGGAAATATGACCGGCAGCATCAAGCGTCTTACCACCGCATTCATCGACCACCAACGTCAGACATACTTGAGTAGTTACCGTCGTCAAACCAGCATCCAAGATGGTTACCTATCCGGAGGCCAGTGTCAGAGGAGTTCTTTATAAGTTCCGCAGGGTAATTGACGACCACTTTGGTGCTCTCGATAAGTTCTTGCAGCCCAAGTCTTCAAGCTCCACCGACTCGTCAAGCTCTACGAACTCCCCGAGCCCTTCCAACACGGCGAATCATAATTGGGACCTCGAATGGAAAGAGTTCAAACGGATGTCAATTAGGTTCCATTCTTGGGCTGAAATCTACCCACCTGGAACTGCCGCTGCAGAATATGACGAGAAACAAATGATGGACAAGAAAAAGGAGCTGTTGACGTTATACAACAAGGTTTATGATGCCACCACCAATCGTAAGGATTCTCTAGCGGAAATCAAGGAGAACAGGAATTGTTGCTGACAATTCTTGTTTGATTCATCTAGTGTTACTTCATACTGAGGATCCCACTTGGTCGAGCACCTCAAGATGGCCAGTTCAAAATCTCCTAAGCAGAGGTTGGAGGGATGATGCGAGCTCGTCAAGTGAGGATGACACAAAGAGCAACGGCTTGCCTCTTAGAGCCACTCAACCAGAAGAGCGAACCGAAGAGGGTATCAAAAGGCAGTGTACGCAACTACTCTTGAAATTTGTTTTTCAAGTTTACGAATATAAAACGTTCAAGTTCGAATAAAAAGAATTTTGGTCCAGAGTTCCACCCGAATATCGCTGCACTTATGAGCACAATCAGGAGCAAAAGGATCCAAAGCGGGAGGTGTACAAGGTATTGTACGAAAGCGAGGAGGAGGACCAAAACTTGAACGAGGAAGAACGAGATCAAAAGCGCGACGAATTAACCTTCAAATTATTCGAAACCATCCGGCACAAGGATATAGCGGCTCCGCCCATTAAAGGTTAGGCATACGCAAAGAGGCTTGATAAGCTTGTACGTACTTCCTTCTCCGTTCCTGGAATAGGGCTCCTCGCAACTCAAACAATCCACAAACCGAGGTCTTCCTCTGTGACAAGGCCAGTGTTCTGGGCTTGGAAGAGTAGTTCAATTCAGCTAATAAACTACTTTGGTCTCGAAGGCCTTGTTGATCCTCTCAACCTCTAGGGGAAGGCTGGGCTTCAAGGCCTTCTTATGCCAAAGGGAAACGGTACGTATCCAGTCCATACGGGTCCTTGTCACCTGAGGCTCCAAGGCACCTAGCGATCTGCATACATGTAGGTCTTTCTCGTATGACACCAGGAGTGTGGCATATGTCCGTGTGACATCCTCTCCAGTTCGTCCTCCAGTTCTCAAGGCGAAAACCAAACACCCATGTAGCAGCCTACAAACACGCCGCAAACTCTCGACTAACTTACCACTTCGCTCTACTCGGAGACTACACCCCTCGCTGGACGAATGAGATGACCCAAACGGGAAATGCACATTTCTTTTTTTTTTTGTTGGGAGGATATCATTAAAAAACGGGACTTCAGAGTTTGAAGGATGATAGGAGGCTTTTGGAAACAAACACCACTCTTTTTTTTTTTTTTTTTTTTACGCAGTACACTCATCAAGTACCCATCAAGGGTAATTCAATCCTTACCGTAGAAGCACAGAGGCACAAAGACACAAGAAACAGGAAAGCAACTTGCAGGCAAGGTGCAAGAAAATCGGTTAAATTGCCTGGCTGGAAGTAGTATAGGTGTCTAGGACATTAGCTTCAGATCTCTCTCCTTTCCGTTGCAGGAACGAGAGGCGGGAAGTGGGAGAGAATAATACAGGACTCGACCACCACACATGTTCCCTTTTGTGAAAGAACATCAAGATGTCTTATGCTAACATCACTCTTTCCTGCTTACCCTAGTCACCTTAAAGCCTTTTCGGCACCTTTCCTACACCTTTTCAACGGTACTGTGTAGGTTCACCTTTACCTTCATCTTCCTCTTAACCTTCACCCTCATTTCCACCTCCACCTTCATAATCACCTTTTTATCTCAAATTCCAAACTCCACCCATTGTTATTTAACACAATGTCCCGTCTGGCTCCCCAAACCGAGCATCTCGTGCAGTGAAGCAGACCACAGGCTCAAGAGAATGGGAGTAGTGGGGCTTGACAACGTCGCTTGAGGGGGCAGTAAAATATATCTACTAAACTGAGTAAAGGGAGGTCAATGGGAGCAGGCAAGGGGAGGAAGGCGAGATAATCCTGACTTCATGATTCTCTTGCAACGAGAGGTCGTTGACTTTATTGAAGTTTTCGGTTTTCGCGACGTGATTTGTTTAGTGTGTTGTTGGTTTCTTATTTTTTTCTTCCTGCTTTCGCGCTTTGCTTTTTCTATTTCTTTCTTCTGCTTCTTTTCGTCCCTCTCTGCAATTATTTTTTCTTCGCATGTTTTCCCGACTTTCTTCCCTTATCACCCTCGCATCCCCAAGGATTTTTTCTTCTTCATTTTCTTTTATGTGTTATTTCTGTTCTTCTTCCTACCGCCTCTCATGATCCGATATTTCGTGCCCTGCAACTAATGCCACCAATAACTCTCCATTCATGACCGAAAATCACACACACAGCATCATTCCTTGCGGTTCGTAAACAAATTCGGTGTTTCTTGGTTCCCTACGTATCAAGACAGATGAAAGTTGAAGTTCCAACTTGAGAAATGACGTCGTCGATCGCTCCTTGCACCTTAGGTAT